ACAGAACATGGGAACAATGAATGGTTTAAAATTAAGAAAGGTGTGCAACAGGGTTGTATTCTTTCACCATACTTATTCAACCTGTATGCTGAGCAGATAATCGAAGAAGCTGGGTTCTATGAAGAAAAACATGGCATCTGGATTGAAGGAAGACTCATTAACAACCTGCGATATGCAGATGATACAACCTTGCTAGCTGAAAGTGAAGAAGACTTAAAACATTTACTAATGAACATCAGAGAGCACAGCCTGTGGTATGGACTACATTTCAATGTAAAGAAAACAAAAATCCTCACCACTGGACCAATAAACAATATTCTTATCAACATCAAAAAGATTGAAGTTCTCCAGGACTCCATTTTCTTGGATCAACTATTAACACTCACTTAAGTAGCAGTCAAGAGATCAAACGACATGTTGCATCGGGCAAATCTGCTGTTCAAGACCTTTTTAAAGTGTTGAAGAGCAAAGATGTCAGCTTGAGGACTAATCCATGACCCAAGCCATGGTGTTTTCAATAACCTCACATGCCTGTGAAAGCTGGACAGTAAATAAGGAAGACCATAGAAGAATTTATGCATTTGAGTTATGGTGCTGAGGAGAATATTGAAAGTGCCATGGGCTGCTAAAAGAATCAACAGATCCGTGTTGGAAGAAGTGCAGCCAGAGTGTTCCTTGGAGGCCAAGATGGCAAAACTTCATCTCTCATACTTTGGACATATTGTCAGGAGGGACCAGTCACAGGAGAAGGATATGATGTTTGGTAGGGTGGAGGGTCAGAAAAAAAAAAAGACCCCCAATGAGATGGATTGGTCAAGTGGCAGCATCGATGGACTCAAGCATCACAACAATAGTGAGGTTGACCAGGATTGGACAGTGTTTCATTGTTCTGTGCATAAGGTCGTTACGGGTCGGTACCGACTCGTTGGCACTTAACAACAATAACCTAAGGAGATAGTAGTAAAGTTTACAACTTTACAAGAATGACTATTTGTTTGAATACGTTGTTTTATGTGGGAGCATGGTGCCTCCGTAGTTTAAACATTGGATTGCTAACCACAATCTCCTTCATTGGAAAAAATGAAGCTTTAGGAACCCTATACAGGATTGTTATGTATCAGAACTGACTCAGCAGCACTTAATAACAACATTCTTTTATATTTAAGTGCCAGTGGGGGTCTGGGGAAATGAACACCTTCTCTAAAGGCTATATGAAAATAACCAGTAAACATCTTTAGAAGTAAATCTGATTTAATTTGGTAGAGTTAGATATGCATTTAGTATATGACTCAGGATTCCATTCATTAGCATGCTTGTCAATTAAAACTGTATTCTCTCTTCAAATAGTTACTAGCAGGGGACATTAAATGGCTGATTGTAGGAGTATGGTAAATAAATTTTGGCTAAATATATTATATAGTATTTTGACATAATGCTGTAGCCAAATGTACTAACATATAATGATAATACTTGTAAATATCACAATGCAAAACATGGGTTATTTGATGCTACTTATGAAAACATACAATCTTATATAGTTTGCATGCATGTAATCTCATATTTCTAAACCCAAACCAGTGCTGTTGATTTTATTTTGACTCATGATAATTTCATATATATCAAAGTGGAGCTATGCTCCATATGTTTTTCAATAACTGATTATTTCATAAGGATATTTCCAGGCCTTTCTTTTTTTTTTACTTTTATGTGCATTTTATTTTAAGTTAAATTTACTCCCGAGCCATAAATTTTTGTTTCTTCAGTTTCTTCTGAGATAACTTTTTCTTCTGGGCAACCTCCTCTTCTGGTTTAGGAACAATTTGTTACTTTTCAGTGAGAATCATCTCAATATGGCAGGGAGAGCTCATGCAGGGGTTGATCCGACCATGAGCTCTGTAAGTTCGGCGGCGCATCTTGGGAGCTTTGTTGACCTGGATATGCTCGATGACTAGAGAATCCACATCTAAACCCTTACGTTCAGCATTGCTCTCTGCATTTTTAAGCATGTGCAGCAAAAATTCAGCGTTCTTTTTGGGCCACCGACCCTGTGTCCAACCCCACTGTTTGACCTGGGCATACCTACCAACGCCACCATTGTAACGTAGGAATAGTACACATTGCTTCTGCAAAGTGACATCTTTAAGATACTTGGTGGCTTTCTGGATATGCATACCCTTGATGGCCTGGGCAGTCTCACGGGTGTTCTTAATATGGACCCGGAGATTTGAACCTCTGGATTTGCATGATTTTGTGGGGTTTTCTGGGTCAAGTGAGTAAGTAGCGAACCATTTTGTGAGATTACCTCGGGGCGCTTACGGGCAGAGGTCCAGGCCTTTCTTTAGAAGCATCCATTAGTAAACTGTTGTTGTTGTGTGCCGTGGAGTCGGTTCCGACTCATAGCGACCCTGTACAACGTTTCCGAGGCTGTAAATCTTTACGGGATCAGAAAGCCTCATTTTTCTCCTGCGGAACAACTGGTAGTTTCGAACTGCTGATCTTGTAGTTCGCAGATCGATTTGTAACCACTACTAGAACTCCAAATTTCAAATTGGTAGCCATGTACCCCTACCCAAACTTTCTGCCATTGAGTCGATTATGACTCTTAATGACCCTATACAGGGTTTCAAGACGAAATCTTTACAGGTACAAACAGCCACGCCTTTCTACCATGGAACAGATGTTGAGTTTGAACTGAGCAGCCCAACAGCTAACCCACAGCACTATCATGGATCCATATATATCCCAATTATTCTCTAAATATGCTAGAATGTCCATAAGAGAAGTTCTTGAGGGTATATGTCAAATTGTTAATAATGGCGATTCCTAGGGTAGAGGATAATAAAAAGTTGTGGATAAAGAATATTTTAGTTTTATCTATGAATTTATATACAATATTAGTTGTATCAATAGTTTCTTAAGAGCTAAAGTTTCTTACTTAATATGTATTTTTCATATAGCTTCAAAGTTTTATTTTTATTTTCAATCACTTTTTACTATTCATTAATTGTATATGGCAGATACAGATGGTAGATAGATGATTGTTGCTGTTGATAAAGTATCTTGAGTCAGTTCTGATTCGTAGTGTCCTTGTATAGGTTTTCTGAGGCTTTAAATCTCTGAGGGATCAGAAAGCCTTATCTTTCTCTTAGGGAGCAACTAGTAGGTTTAAATAGCTGACCTTGTGGTTCTCAGCCCAGTGATTATCATATAGATGATAGACGATCGATAGATTGATAGATCGATAGATCGATAGACCAATAGACAGATTTATGGCATGAAGTCTACACATTAAACATGAATACTGAATTAATATCCAGTGGATAACTTGGCTTATTTAGTAGCTAAGTGACTATCTCATGTAAGTCTTAAAGAGCTGTTTTAAATAAGACAAATTTTCTCAAAACATTATGATTGCTGACAAAAGAAGAAAAATATGTTTACTAGATTAGATAAGGCCAACTAAGCCTCTATATGGAAGCCTTTTTGTGAATGTGTGTGGGTGTTTGTGATATAGAAGAGTTTCCTTCTGGGTATTCAATTGAAAATTATAGAATGAAAGTCATATGTAGATAATGGAAAAATTACTGTTTGCTAGAAACAGTAGAGTGGGAGGGGTAGAGAGATTTTGAAATCAAATGAGATAATGCATATGGCTTCATAGAATTTTAGACTCAAGAAGATAATTGATGAACAGTTTTCTTAATAAGAAAATAGAGAAAGAAAAAAAACCCTGCTTTGTTGGAATTCATACAGCTACTTAGTGTAAGAGCACATACTTTAGGACTTGTCTAATTTAGAAACATAGAAAGTGTCTAAAAGGCAATTTAGAAATTATTTATCAAGCTCAAAATTTTAACAAAATTTTTAATCATTAAAATGCATGTATAACGGATACTGGGGACTAGAGCTTTCTCTGTTGCTAGTTTCCAAGATATTTAAAGGGCTAGTGTCTCAAAGATGAAGAACAAGTATTTTAAACTGAATAAGAGCCTTGAATGTATCATACACACTTTTGATTATTTATAATCAACACTGAGGTCTACATTAAAAAGCAAACTGGGATGGTATTGTTATTGTTTACTTCATAGTGTTCTTACATAAGGTTCTTGAGATAATGTTTTTAAGTGTCAAGTACATCATGTGAATTCATGGATCAATGTAATATATTAATTATGGGGTTGGTCTGTGGAAGGGACTCTGGTGAATGGCACTGGTTCACAATGCTAGTATTTGTGAGTACAACACAAACTTTTCATGAGTATTATGATTTACTGTATGATAGCAATATAAAGGAAACCTGATTTTGTTTCTGTTGAACATCAACATTGCTATTTTCTTTTCACACCAAGAATAAGCTGTTGTTGTTGTTGTTAAGTGCTGTCGAGTTGGTTCTGACCCATAGGGACCCTGTATAGGTTTTCCAAGGAGAAGCTGGTGAGCTTGAACAACCGACCTTGCAGTTCAAACGGCTTTGCAGTCTGGCACATTAACCCACAGCACCACACCAGGAATGCAAGAGTAAGAGAGGAACATTAAATAAAATCATAATGTTGAGATGGCTAATGACTCCAAGGTTTAGCTGGAGAGTAGATTAACAGACATCATTCAGAAACTAACTTGAGCATTCTAGATAAGAACAGAATAAAATAACAGTAATAAGATCTTGTGCGTTTGGTAAGCAAGCTATGTATGATTCAGAAAACAATATTCTAGATTGTGGTGATCAACCAACTAGTATAGGAACCAATCAGTGTCTTTTGGGGCAGGGTCAAGTTTCTAATATAGCAACCTTTAGCCTCCTGGTGCAAATGACTGCAAAGCCATTTGAACTGCAAAGTCGGCAGTTCAAGCTTACCAGCTCCTCCTTGGAAACCCTATACAGGGTCGCTATGTGTTGGAATCAAGTTGATGACAGTTAACAACAACAACAACAACAACAACAACAACAGTATAAATGAAAAAAAATGGCTACACAGTCCTCCCTTCCAATTCCCATTTCCTTTC